CTTCTCACTGCCCATCACTGAACTACATATGCTACAATAAACAGCAGTTATGGGGCTAAATCCCTCATCCATCTTTACAAATGTGAGAGGATCCAACAGCATCAGGGATGTGGGGTAGCCAGGCACGTGTTTCAGCTGAGATACTGCATACTGGGTAACTGTATTTCTGCAGAACAGCCATGAGAAGTGCCCTGACTTATGTGTTAGAAGGATTTTTAACATAAATCAAAGCTCATTTCCACCTAACAAAGACCTTCTGTGGACCTCAGGGAAAAAGACAGCTTCAGCTCTCAGAAAAGATTTGCAACAGGTCAGGCACTTGGCTGCAGTAGGCAGTTGTGGGTGAGACATGGGAAAGACCAACCTCCAAACAATCTTAACAGCTGTACAGTAAATTCTCTGTAGTTTTGTCATGGACTCTCAAGAAAAGCTGGCAGAAGATGTTCCAGATATGTGAAAAGCATTTTCACTTGTGTATGAAACAATCCATGTCACCTTCCATCCTCAGAGAGCAACAGCTGGATAGTTCATAATAAACCAAATGCAACATGTTGTTTACATCACCTCTATGGCAGAGCCAGCACGAAAAGTTAAATGTATAAACATCAAAAGCCTCGAGCTTGCTATACAAAGATCTAAAGAAGGTGGTTGATGTAATTCTGTGGGATTCTGTGCTTAATCTTTCGTTATTCTCTTTCCATGTCAAATTTCTTAATCTCCTTCTGCCTTTTGCTTCTCATGGGTAATAAAGACTCCATTGTTTATCTCTTTTCATAATAAAGTCTCACAGTCAATCAGTAGTTTGCATTTAAAGCCTCTCACTGCCTACTTATAAAGCGCAGATGGGGAGATCATGTTTCTGTAAAGCAAAGCAACTGTTTTACCTAATAATGTCCATCACAACCATGGGGGCACACGGCCCATCAAATTGAATGCATTCTTGGATCTTCAGGTCTACTGAAGAAAACAGCAGCACTGGTTTGTTACAGTTCCTCTTCCACCACCAAACATTACAGTGATTTATTTCACCACCTGCTATCAAATGCCAAAAAAATAAATATCCACAGGGAGAAACAGGTTTCAAAAGTGGTATTAATGAAATTCTTGAATGCAAAAACAATGTGGTGGCAACTCTGAGAAACACTTGGAGGATTTTATGTTCTTATGAGTTTCAGGTGTATGAGTTAGCAGAAAAATTCATTCAGCTGCTAGAAATCAAGTGCTGGAAGCAAATGTACTCAGCCAAAAGAATTAACTGCACTTCAAATCATACAGTTCCCTTCAGGCAAACAAGGCAGGGCCAAGGATGAACACGGTGGCAATATTAGATTAGAAGAGAATTAAAACTAATTACAGGACAATATTTCCTACCACATCTCTCCCATGGTCACATCAAATTAATTGTATGCCGTATCTTAACATTAAATGTATCACTTAATACATTGCCAAAAAAAGGTTTCACTTCACCTCTGTTAAAGTTCTCCTACTCACATCTCTATCTAAATCAAACTCCTGTGTTCCGAGGATCGGCAGACTGAGCACTACCAGAAAGTCTGACAGACATCAAGCAAATGTGGATGTTTATGTAGAGTGAACAGTCAGCCACAGACACATATGATGCCACTGCAAACCTTGGGGGCTGCAGACTGCTCTGACACCTGCATTTTCAGGCAGACATAATTAAGGGCACAGGTATTGTGTAATAAACAGAGGTAGATCGGCAAGTGATAGACTGCAAATTCCAATCTTGACTCTGGGGTAGTCTTCTAAACACTTGCTGGTAGCACATCTTCCTTGTGTTGAAAGGAAAAGCATTAGAATGAGGTCTGGAGATGACTAATACTGCGAGTCAGCTTCAAACACTGCCTTCAAAACACAGACAAGATCCCTCTCGATGGCGCGTTTCTGTTTATCATGCCTCATCTTCAGTCAGCAATGTAAGTCTTAAGGATCCAGAAAATCTTGATTCCTGGCGTGGTATGGTGTTGTTCTGTACTGAGAGAGTCATTTTGACATTTTTCTACTACTTTCCAAGGAGAAATTCTTCATCTCACAGTCTGCATAACTACTCGCTGCTGATCTGTACCAAGCTGATGGGCTCAAGGTGACAGATTTCCTGATTCTTCATAGATGTTAAAGAATAAAATGGTTCTTCATTATGTTTATGCCTGTCTAACACACACTGTAGGATTCATATTAAAGGACACCTGCTATTTCTGTAATTCCCTTCGAAGTAGCTGTCTGAATCCTACTCGAAAAGCAGGATCAAAGATGACCCACCTTGCAAGATGTACTGCAACAAAAGTTTGGGATATGCTGCTCTAGGGACTGCAGAAAAATTAGCACATCAGACAAGCAATACAAATAGAAATCAGTTTTAACAGACATCGACCAAATTACAGGAGTAAAGATGTCTTTCCAGGCACTAGAAAACATTAGAATTTTAGCAATAAAGTTAAGACTGGCTTCCCATTTTCATTATCACTTACAGGATCAGTAAGGCAGTCAACCAAAGCACCCATAATGTTAGATTACTTATGCTTAGAATATATATATATACACATAAATTACATTCATCAGGGTCTAGCACAACCTGAAAGGTCACCAGGAGGGTGGCTCATGTTTATTTGGAATGAAGGAAGAACACAATCTGCCTAAGTTTTTAAGATAAAAAACACTGCTGATAAATGATATGAATAAAAAAAGATAACAGCAGCTTAAAATTAATATAAGAGCTAATATCTTTTAATCTTGACAAATTAATTCAACAGGGTCTGAATGGAAACATATCTTTGTTGCAAGCGCGTGGGAGAACGTACAAATTCCTTTAAAATACACCATTCTGGAGATGCTTTATCAGGATGAAAGTGGCTTTTTAGTATACCGTGGTTTCTGTAATTATAGGCAAGTAAAGCAGAGCCCCTACATCCTCCAAAAACAAAAGTAAGACCACTAAAATAAAGGTTCTGTTCTTTTTCTTAAAAATAATATCCTACCTAGCAAACATCACTATGGACTGTTGATATGTATAGTCCCTGCACTGCTCACGTTACAGGACTCTGTTCCCAAACTGATGGAAGCGTGCAGATGCATTCAATAAGAAAATAAGATACAGTGTGCAGAAGCATGCTTGAGAGAGCCAGTAGGGGAAGAGGCAGGCACTTATGTTCAAGCTACACTTTTCAAACGATTCTCAAATCTCGCTACAAGAAAATATGACTTCTGGGTAATCACAGACATCTGGTCCAAACCAGCACTTTCCTCCCTCTGTGCTAGCAGTTCCAATCTCAGTTTCAGGACCCCTCCTTTCCCAGCACAGATGTCAACCTCATCTATATAGAACTACAGACTACTGACAACAGATCAGTTTAAAAAATGTTGTTCAGAAATCTTGTTAATTGGTTACAGGCCAAAATGCACTGCTCTTAGCACATGCATAAACCTTGCTGGAGTCATTAAAGGTAAAGCATTGTTTTCTAGTCCTGAGTTTTCTAGTCCAAGAGTCCAGGGTTAGTCACCATAACCAAAAGCTGTGATTTTGTTTAGAGCTTTGCATCAGTAGGGGTGCCACAAATGGACACAGAAGATAAACATAAGTCTGATTTTTCCAACCAGGGAGACAGCTTTATAGTTACATTACCGTGCCTCACTGCTGCGGGCATGTTTTAAATCAATACAGAGCAGGACTTGCAATCAATCTGAGCACTTCCCTTTTCCCTTTGTGGCAAGAAGGATAAATTCCTCAAAGCATCAACAATTGCATAGCATGGCAGCTTGACGGCCCAGAGACAAACTACATTAGCCACCCCAAGCTCTGGACAGACAAAATAAGAGCCTCCAATATGAGGTATATTTTGAAAAACTGTGTTAGTTCAATTTTATTTTTTTTTAATGCTTACTTACTAACTTTGATCAGCTGGGTAGAAAAAAAAACACAGACTGTTTGTCCCCAGTTAAGAGCCAAGGGTTGGTGTTAAAAAGGTATTCAACTTTCCTCAGAGAAACCACATGATGGAAGCATTAAGAACAAGCAATCAAAATGCTGCATGTTTTGGGGAGTATCCTCAACATAAATCTTGTTCTTTACTCTTCTGTCAATATATCTGAAACAGAAGATGCTTCTGAAAGTCACAGCAGTATTTAAGATTCTTAAAATAATAGAAAGGCATGAATTCAAAGCTGAAGAAGCACACAAATACACAGTGTTTGTCAATCTGTGCTAAGACTGGCATAATGGGATTAGGAAAGTATGAGGAGAAAAAGAAGGCATGTAAATAATAAAAGATTTAAAAAATGTTTCTCGTGGTTATACAACCACCTAATGGATCACTAGTCAAACAAATTAGGAATTTCGTTTCCACACACAAACAACTCCTATATATCACAAATGTCTTCTCTCTGTCACACCCTGGAACATCTTCTACGATGTACCTCAGCTGGGCTAAAACAAAAGTGAAAACCTGGTACAAAATTAACCAAATGGCACACATATCCCAACCTTTTTGCTCAAAATATCAGTTGCAAAGGAGGCTGTGGAGAAGCAAGGATAGAATAAAGCCCTAAATCAATCATATATTCTTCATTAAGTGTATGAAAGTGCAAGATTAAAGTAGTTCAGGTTAAGCATTCAGTCCACTATAGTCCACACAGATGCTTAGCTCGGCCATCAGTGACCTGTTTCTATCATTCAGTTACTAATGTTAGTTTACACCACAGAAAGAACAACAACTGAATGAAAAACTTAAGCAACCCACTTCAAAAAAATGGTTAGTTTTCTGTGACCAGCACGAAATATTAGCTCAGTATTATCAGCTATACAACATATACATAAAAATATTGTGTCTTAATCTTTGTTTTAACAACTTAGAATAAAGCTGTACTAAGCATTATTCTCCTAGTGTGCCAACTCTTCACTCTGTTCTGGCGGGCAGGCCTAGTAACACAGAGAAGTCCTTTTGTAGCAATGGGACTTGAATTGATCCACGGTTTTGACAATCCAGCCATAGTAAGTGTTGAATCACTTTATTCAGCCAGGCTAAGTGGATGCACGTGATGGCCCAGGTCTCAGTCAAAGCTTCCTGGGTGGCTCCACAAGAAGAACAGGCCATATTCCAAGAAGAAACTGTTAAAAGAAAAATATGAAGAGGAGAAAGATTTCTTAGAATATCACTTGGAACAGAAAGCAAGCACTGTTGACAACATCTCAATTGCACTTACTGGAATGCAAGTAGAAAGCAAAGGCAATACCATAACAACAGACACAACAAGCAAGCCCCAGTGCACATTCAGGCCCAAGACATACGAATGCTCCAGTGGACAAAAAATATTGGTTGCTTACCTTCACCTTTGGCCTGTGTTTCAGGAAAAGTGTCCTTGTGTATAAACTGAGAAAGGGAAGGAAAGCACACTTGAAATTTAATATGCAAGACAGCACACAAAATAATAATCAAATACTAATGCTTGTTTTGTTTTCCAACTGGAAAATAATTGATACTGTGATTGTAGAACTAAACATTATGACTACATTTACACAAAATAGGAAACAGCCCACATAGTAAATCCCACTGCAATTAGCAAACAGACCTACACAATCAACTACGTGAACAGGAAGAGAGAAGTTCTCTCTGCTCAGGAAAAGATCTCAGGAAACACGCGAGGAGAAGGGTTTGGGGGTGTTGGTTGATGAAAGACTCAACACGAGCCAGCAACGTGCACTTGCAGCCCAGAAGGCCAAACATATCCCAGGTTGTATCAGGAGAAGTGTGACCAGCAGGTTGAGGGAGGTGATTCTGCCCCTCTGCTCTGCTCTCGTGAGACCCCACCTGGAGTACTGTGTCCACTTCTGGAGCCTCCAACACAAGCTGGACACATGGAGCTGCTGGGCCGCGTCCAGAGAAGGGCAATGAAGATAATTAGAAAGCTGGAGAAGCTCCCCTGTGGGGACAGACTGAGAGAGCTGGGGCTCTTCAGCCTGGTGAAGAGAAGGCTCTGAGGAGATCTTATAGCAGCTTTCCAGAAACTGAAGGGGGCCAACAGGAAAGCTGGGAAGGAGGTTTTTAAAAGGGCAGGTCATGATGGGGCAAGGCAAAATGGCTTTAAACTGGAAGAGGGTAGATTTAGACCAGATATCAGGATGAAATCCTTTACTGTGAGGGTGGTGAGACACTAGAACAGGTTGTTCAGAAAGGTGGATGCTCCCACACTGGAGGCATCCCTGCCTATAGATGGGGGGGATTTTAAGGGTCCCTTCCAAACCAAACCATTCTATGACTCCATGAATAGGAACTAGATAGAGTCTGTTATTTTGGAAGGGTGAAATTACTTCACCGTACCACAGAACGTAGCAGATATCAACAAAAATAATAGTAAAAAAGCATAGCTTGATTCCTCACTTTTGTTCTGACCCATTCTTTCCCCTTAGCAAATCTTTTCCTGTCTATGACCTCACACCTTATGCAGCCATCAGCTCAGGTAGTATAGGTGGTGCCTTAGAGAAAACCCTAAGGAAACTTCTGCAGGGAAAGCATATAGTTCATTGGATTAGGGTACATTCCTCAATGGCCGGAGAATGCAGAAACAAATTGTTTTTTCTGCACAGCATATTGGAAAAACCTTGCCTATAGTATTCAAAGCGTCTCCATCAACTTGCTTTCCATAAGGAATTTTCTTCAAAAGATCATCTCAAGCTCTTCAGGACAGCAGACAACTCGTCAGCCAAAATGGAGCAACTGTTTTCCACATACTATGCTGTATCTTATATATACACACACATATATATGCACACATACATATATATATATATATAAATCTATATTTACACATTACAGGTATATACAAAAGAAACCCAACACAACTATCAGATCAGCTACTGGAATTGTACTTATTTTCCTTGAATTTTCTTTTTTCTGGCTATTTTAGCATCTGACAAAAAATGGAGAACTACGTCAGGCATAGAAAACATGATCACATATCAGTTTTGCTCACCTATACAGGATGTACCTGTCAAGTATCGAACAAACTACATGAAATCTGCACTCTGTCGACTTTCATCCCTGCTTCCAGTAGATGGCGGTATAGAGCAACAACACAGCCAAAATCTGCTGGCTGCAGACCTGCTAATTAAGGCGCTTACACATTTAAGTCTCCTTCTAAAACTAACATTCCACAGTTCTGCTCCAACCACATCAGCAGTCACCCTTCTGCTCTGCAGCATAATGCCTGATAGTCCTCAGGAGTGACAACACCTATCAAACAATTAGTTACACTTGTAAAATTAAACACTTTTAAGCACTTGAGAATTCTTGCACAAGAGCAGAAAGATATTAATGGCTTATATTTGGAAATTAATTAAAACTTCAAAAGCATTCAACAGTAAACTGCTATAGAGTTCTCACTTCTAAAATGCATTTTCTTGTAGAATCATGACTATCTAAAAGACTGATGATTATTTTGGAGAACATACACTACTAGAGTTTACAGACAAGTCACTCAGAGGAAAGGACTTCCACTCCCTCCAGTTCATTAAGAGGTCATTTTCCTGCTCTTCTGCTGACACAGCATGTTGAAGTAAATCAGAACCTGGGAAAACTCCAAAGGCTGCTTTCCGATCATCCAGTTTAGAAAACATTTCCTACCTGAGCAAGATATGAAGATAAGAGCCCAGGCCTGTGAGAATGTGCCACCACGCATGAAACTGTGTCACAGCTCCCAAAACAGGAGGCATCTTCTCTCGTAGTGCTCTGTAAGAAAGAAAACACTGTGCAATTGTTTTTTGTTGGGTTCCCTCCTCCCCCCAAACAGAACAATCTCAGATTTGAGTGATCTGTTACCTCTGGACTTAAATTTCAGAGAGTGTATTTATGGCATTCCACTGTCTCAAATGAGTTCTATCATTCTCCAGTCCCAAACCTTGCAAACTACTGCCAGGGATTAGGTCTGAGAGAAGAGGGATCCATCTAACCTCACTCTTCATTCCAGCTCTGTGGAAGCTTAGCTTACCTTTCTCTGTTTTATACTTAGAACAAGGAGAAACATAGCATTTAGTGAGGAAGCAATGAAACAGATTCTGAAATGCTCTGCCAACACATTTTATATTTTCAACAGTTACGAGGTGTGAGCTACTTGGGAAGAGTCTCAATGATATTGAGACAGAGGAAGAAAAAAGGGAAGGAATTAAGTCACTGTGGTTTCTCCTGCTTGCCAGATTTCTGCAGTTAACTCCTGTTTTGGTTGCTGGTGGAGCAAATGTGAACATCTGCTTGCTTTCTTTGCTGACTTGTACTTCATGCTCAGTCAAAACAAAAAGGGAAAATAGCAAAGACTGCAGGAGTAAGGGAGAAAAGTCCACAGCTTCTGTTACACTTATTTACTGCACTATGTTACAGTGTTCAGGCTTCTCCACTAAATGCTAGTCCTTGAGCTACCGATTAGGTTTCCAACTCAATCACAAAGGTAAGCACAGCTTTGATTCAGTCAGACCATTAATGACTACTGGAATATGAAAACAGTCACCCCAGCCTTTCAGAATCACAGAATATCCTGAGTTGGAAGGGACCCATAAGGACCACAGAGTCCAACTTGTGCCTCCATGCAGCATCACTCAAAAATCTGACCATTTTGATAGCAGGAAAAGTCAAATCTCAAAATCAGAATCTCATGTTTTGTTGTTGTTAGTTTTTTGGTTTTTTTTTTTTTTTTTAAGTAGCTCCAGACTAAATGACGTAAGGAGAAACAAAAACTGAATCAAAACAATTTTGAATATTAGAGCCCAAAAGAGCAGGTAGGTGGATGATTCACAAATCAGATCTTTTAGAGAACAAAAAAAAAATTACAGGGAACAAGAATTTGAGCATATTTTTTCACACAATATGCTGAATTGGAAGGGACCCACAAGGATCACTAAATCCAACCCATGGCCCCACAAAGGACCACCCCAAACCCGAAGTCTGACAGCAGTGTCCAAACATTCCCTGAGCTCTGGCAGCTTGAAGCTGTGCCCATTGCCTTGGGAACCTGATGACTGCCTTGCCCTGTCCTCCAATTTGTTGAGATCTCTTTGCAAAAGCTCTCAGCCCTCAAGGGAATCAACAGACCCTTCCAGTTTAGTGTCAACTGCTGACTTACCTAGTATACTTCCAAGTCCTGAATTCAGGTCATTGATGAAATTGTTAAAGAGAACTGGTCCTAAAAATGGAGCCCCAAAGACCAGCTACCAGTCTGATGTAAACACAACCCGTTAAACCTGACCCATAAGCCAATTGTTCACACACCATGTGATGTTTTTGTCTTGTTGCATCCTGGACATTCTGTCCGTAAGGATATTGTGAGAAACAGTATTAAAAGCTTTGCTAAAATCCAAGAAGATTAGATCAAGTGGCTTCCCTTGGTCAGCTAGGTGGATAGCCCTGTTATCAAAGGAGATTAGGTTCATTAAACAGGACTTTACTCTCATGAGCCCATGTTGGCTGAGACCAATGATTTCATTGCCTTACAGGTGTTTTTCAGTAATTCTCAAGATAACCTCTTCCATAACTTTACCAAGCACACAAATGAGGCTGACAGGCCTGTAAATGTAATAATCTTTCTTGACCTTCTTCACAACTGGGACCAGCCTTCTGCCCTGCCTGAATGACTTCAAGATGTTCAAATTATAATTGTACTTAGAGAAATTCAAAGGGTCTGAAGACATCTGATTATTAAAGCTAGTAAACAATTTTTCTTTCCAGCACCATAACCAAACAAGTATGACAGGAAATATGCTAACATTTTTTTCCCTTTACAAAATCAGGGTAGAAAAAAAGAGCTTCAGCAGCTAGTGGAATCATTGAATCTAAGAACAAGTTCCAAAGCCCCACAGACACCCAGGAACTCAGCAGGCTGAGTGAATTGGGTGCTACAATCTCACCAGCAATTTGATGCAGCTGCAAAAACCAACCTTGGATGCCAGCATGTGCAAAGTGACTGTATACCTACCCATTTGTGATGGCAAATAAGCTTTCTATTCTAGTTTACCAAGTATTTTTAGAGGGACTTTTTTTGCCTTTTTTTTTTTTTCCTCCCCAAGTTTAATGAAAATCCTGCTGGAGTTACATATCGATTGGCTCAAAATACTGCAAGACTTACAGAGCCAAAAGGGACAGATGGAAAATATAAGACTTCCTTGTAGCATGTTATGACCTGAGCCTCACAAAGCAATCTAATAGGATAATTCTGTACACCACAGACTCAAGTACATAACAGTGTATTTTATGTACACTGAGAGTCAGCCTCTGTGTGTTATGAACAGAGAGTCAAAATGGGATTTTCTTGTTGCTGGCATCAACCTGTCCGTTTCTTCCAGCTTGTGGTGGAACATAACCATCACAATGAAGTGAAAGACAAGTGCTGCTAGGAAGCTGTCCAGCTCCAAGGGATGACACACTCAGAAACCAATGTGTTGGTCTGGTGTTCCTTCATGCACATGTACAGTATCTGCCATACAACAAGATGGTGGACTTCTACATGCTTTATGTGGTAGCCAGTTCTTTTTTACCCCATTTGGCAACAGACTAAGCAGAGATAAAGTCTTTCTGGCCTCTTTTACAGTGCTAAACTGTAAGACTTCAGGCTAATAATGACAGCTAGGCACAATGCAATGGCTCACGGAGTTACTGCTCTTTGAGACACTCAAATTGCTGCTATTTATTGGTGACAGATATATTGCAGCAGATACTTCTTTAACTTGCAGAACTGCTGTTTTTGATATCTTCCTAGGAAACTATAAGAGCAGAAACAAAAAAAAAAAGCAGGATAAAAATCTCATTCAGGTGAAATCAAGTATGATGAGCAGACTTTAGTAAGGCACAGATCCTCAAAATTACTTCAGTGACATTACTTTCCCTCAATTTAAATTGAAGTTAAAGAGAAATACCTATCATAAAAAAAAAAAAAAGGAATCTATTCATGAATAAGAAAAGCTTTAAAAGAACTGTTCAGTGCTGAATTTGGTCATAAGCAAACTGGATAAAAGCCTTGTGAATGCTTTGTAGGCAGCTTATCAAACCTACCATGAGACAGACTTGAATATACACAGCAAAGAAAACAATGCTTTATGCTAAAAGATTATGAGCTAGCGAGACGAAGTGAAAGTGCTCACCTCAATTTCTCACAAAAAATGTTGTCCACATTCCAGAGGAAAAATCCCATTAGAAATACAGTTAAAGATGTATAGCCTAGACCTCTAAGCCATGGGTATACCCTGAAGAGAGAAAAAGAAATAATAGAGCTTAGTTCAATATGCTTTAAAGGCAGCTTGTAGTATATACATAAATACTATAACATACATGTAAAGTGTTTTTTCATTTAAGAAGATACCAACTTCAAATTTCATCTATTTAAGTATTCACAGAATCACAAAAATATTTGAGTTGGAAGGGACATTTTTGAGCTTAAAGAACATCCACCTCCCAGCAATAAACAGGAACATCTACAGTTCCATCATGTGCTCAGAGGTCTGTTCAGCCTGACATGGAGTGTCTCCTCCAGGGATGGGGCATCCACTGCCTCTCTGGGTAACCTGTGCCACTGCTTCACTACCCTTATCATAAAAAAAAAAAGAAAAGAATTTTCTTATACCCAATCTAAATCTCTCCTGTTTTAGTTTAAAACCATTTATCTTTGTTCTCAATCCCTTGGATCATTTTTGTGGCCTTCCTCTGGACATTCTCCAATAAGTCCATATATTGCTCTGCTTCTGCTGAACCAGCATTCTATGGGATTGGTCTCCTAGAGATTTTGCTTCTTCACTATGAATTGTCCCCTAAATGTTTGTTGCATTATGAATGAGCAGTACGTGGGAAAACTGAAGTTATCCAAAATGTAAGAATTTGTCAGTCCCACTGACAAATCCCACGTAATCATTCAGTTGAAGATTAGCCATGTGACAATTTAGGACACTCCCAAAAGAATACTGTATGTTGTATTTCCATTACAGCATACATTGGGAACAGAAAAAATAAAATTCCCATTTGGGGAGAAAACATTTATTTAGGATATTAGAAACATACTGAAGAATCAGCTAGAAGAAAGTGAATCATCTGTAAGCTCACATCAGCACCTGCATTCAGCTTGGAATTGCCAGCTTACTACATGGAAATTGGCAGCATTTGCTCCTTTCCCACTAGGAAGTCCAAAAGAAAGCCTAATTTCACCTCCAAGAGACTGCCATGAAATACTTTATTTTTAAACTTTATGGATGTACAGTTTAGATTTTGGTTTAAAACGCATTCCTGAGTTGTTTTTTCCTCCACCCAGTTACATTTCACAGCTATGAGCAGTGGCAATAGAAATGTCCAAACAGACAGGTACAGTTTCTTCCATTCAGCAAACCAACTAGACACAAGTGGTACATGTTAACAGGTGTACTGCAAATATAAACTGGCAAAATTATTGTTTGTTTAATCTAATAAATGCATAGAGAATCTTGGTACATGGCAGAGACAACACTTTAATAATCCCGACTCAGTGCTCTAGAAATATGAGCAAGTCCAAGACATGAAAGAGCACTAAATGGTATATTCTAGACACTGGTAATTAGATAATTATGGCTGGAATTGTTCAGAGAATAACTAAGTGTTGTTTTGTGAAGGAGCGTGAGAGGCTGGCATCACTCATCAGCAGGGAACATGCTCTATGAACACAGGGCAACATTTGCCAAGTCGTAATTTTGGGAATGAAGCAGAACCAAGAACTGATGAAAATTTGGGGGAAATGGGCAGGAATGACAACAAATAGTGGGAATAGGAGGAGGCAGCAGCCTGAAAGGATTTATGTACTGCTTTTTAAGATCTGTACACTGAGCTCAGAGCAACTTCCAGCCCTGCACTAGGAAACATGAGTCATATGAAGTTACTACATATTAAAGAAATAAAATAGAAAAGCAGAAACAGCACTCAAAATATAAGTTAGAACAGGCTTGGACAACTGCTAGAATTACGAACAGAAAGACAGAAATGCAGTTTAGCAACGCAGAGAGGAAGTAAATCTGAAAGTACACTCAGGGCTGGCTTTTCACGAAGAGAAAGGGCACTGTAAGGACAGCAAAGCTTCTTTCCCTTTCTCAACTTCCTAGCCACAGTTTGCATTAACATAGCTGAAAAAGGAAGTCAGTCTTTGCAGTATTGGAATGAAGTGATCTCGTTAATTAAGAAAATACATTCCAAAACTTCTAAAACTGAAGGGAAAAAGTAGGTAGAACGTCAGAGATTAACTTTGCAGGTGGAGAACATTGGATAAAATCCTAGAAGGATGGTGGTATTATTGGTGGTGACATAATAGCAATATTTCAGAAATAATATGCATGCACAAGAGTGGAATTCGCAGAACTGGAAAGTCAGCAGACCCAATAGCCTATCTACACAGAGAGAGATTTAATCTAAATGAAGAGAGCTGTGCTGAATCCTTGTACAAGAACAAAATCAGATCGACTCGAACTTGATTCCCCTTGGATGTGAATAGAGGCAGTATCACTTAAATCTCTATACTATGATTAAAATTTCCATGTTCATGGGTTTGAAAAGTGTCTTTAAACTGTTGTTTCTATAACTGCAAGCAACATGCAATCCATCATAAGTGTTTTCTGCTTAACATTTATGCTTGGTTTGTGGAAATTTCTCGGGGGAAAGTCAAACCAAATTAACTGAAATTGCAATTGAAAGGTGATTCAGCATATTCACTTTTAATTCACATCTTTTGTTATATTTTTCCGTGTGTTCCTGAACAGTTACATACAGAACTAAAAACAAAGTTTTGATGACAACTTGGCTTCAAGAAAATGCAAGGAAGTGGGGCATTCTCTTTCAATCAGAGCACTGTGAACTAGCACTGTGTACCTAGTTAAAGAAATTCTGCCACTACTCATTTCCCATGTTATGACTGCCAGAAAAGATACATATGCTAAGATGTACCTTATAATGTTGAGCTACTACTAGTATGTAATAACACTTACCATAATACTATATAAACAGATCGTAGAACTATAACAGAAACTAGTGTTCCATACATGATCTGTAAATAAAAGCAAAGATAGAGGTCAGCAATGGTATTCAAGAGACTTTATAAAATACTAAATGAATAAAACTGTTTGCATCTTGACTGTTATTTCTTAGCCTGAAGAAAATAGAATCCCTGCTAAATTTCTCTCTGGGTCTACCCAAAGATAAAGTCTATAAAATAGACAAATAGAAACAAGGTTATAATCACACTGTGTATGCAATTATGGGAAAAGACAGTTGTGGAAAGCTGCTGTTTCATTTCTTTGAATTAGAAAGCAAACACTAGGTGGCACTCAGTAAACACCTTGGCTTCAAAACAGTAACTCTCTCCTATTACTTGTTCTCTAACTGTAAATTTTAACCCCTGCTTGCGTAAGCATCAGTTGAAATTGAGCACTTGAAATTTATACTTCCTTCACTTATGTTTAGTATTTTTTTCTGAAGGCAAATACTTCAAGAGTCTATGCACTACACCCACAATGAGCATGAAAGAAACTTTCCAGGGAGCATTTGAAATCATCTATTCCCAAATTGCTAGGATTCATTCTACATATACAGAGAAAAGGCTGCATGCTCTGAGAAGTCCCACAAGCAACATCTGTCTCACTGTAAGCTCAATGAAGTTGAATGTAATGGTCTGACAAATAAAAGGTCAAAGTACTTATTTCATTCCTGCCTCGTGATCTTCGAATTACTCTCCATTTCTTTCTCTACAGCTTTAGGATTCACATGATACCACCTCCAAGACATTACAGATTAACAAAGTGAAACAATGGAGTCTGCCATGCCTGCGCAGTGATGCAGAAGCCAATGCAGCACGGAGGATTTTCAGACACCAGTGGCATCACTTTACTGTGACAAAAACCCACTTTAGTGAGTTTTTAAAACCCACTAAACCTAACAGAACAGTTGATTTACATACCAGCATCTTCACCACATCCTGTCAACCTCATCTCTTACCTTCTTTTAGACTACACTGTCTTCAAGGCTCTGCCGTAACCGGAGCATTCAACTATTAATAACCCACAAGCAAATGCATGCAGCCATTCACCTGACACAAAACAGATTGTTGTAATAGCATTTAATAAAACCTACTGTTCAGAAATCCATAAAGACCACCTTCCAAACTCACTTTAGCTTTAATGATGAGGTTAGTAGCACACACTGTATTATCAGTGCATACATTCTGAACACGACAGACAATGGATTCTTTATGTTTGACAACAGATAGAAGCTCCAATATTGACTGTGTAAAGCCATTCAGCTCAGCAGCTCTCTATTTGCATTCAGCATGAGATAAATAAATTCAGTAACTACACTATTGCTACGTGCATACTGCTCTGTAAACAAAGCAAAGCTATTTGGAAAAGCTTATTTGTTCTGTCTTGTACTTTTACACAAAACTGTAAACTAGTTCCCCTGTTGAAGTGCAGCACGTAAATCAGAAAATCTGCTAGGTATGGCCTTAGTATTGAGTGCTGATCAGTGCCATCTGAAGTTGGAAAGGGGATGCAGTGCTGGGACTGTTCACTGCATATGCTGCTGCAATTCTCCATTGCTAGCAGAGTTTGCCTCTCCATCACACTGACAAATACATATTAAATTTAAAAGTTAAATCACAGAATGGCTCAGTTTGGAAGGGACCTCACAGATAATGAAGCTCCAACCTCCCTGCCACAGACAGAGCCACCAACCTCCATGTTTAATACTACACCAGGCTACCCAGGGCCCCATCCAGTCTGGCCTTGAACACCTCCAGGGAAGGGGCATCTACAACCTTTCTGGGCAGCTGTTCCAGAAACCTCATCACTCTCATTGTAAAGAGCTTCCCCCTGACATCCAACCTAAATCTTCCTTCCCTCAACTTCAAACCATTTCCCCTTGTCCTGCAGTTATCTACCCTTTCAAACAGTTGACTCCCCTCTTGCTTATAGGCTCCCTTTAGGAACTGGAAGGCTGCAATGAGGTTGCCCCACAGCCTTCTCTTCTCTAGGCTGAACAAACCCAGCTCTATGAAGACTCAGTCTGTCTTCATAGGGGAGGTGCTCCAGCTCTCTGATCATCTTTGTGACCCTTCTCTTGACCATCTCCAACAGTTCCCTGTCTTTCTTGTACTGGGGGCTCCAGACCTGGACGCAGTACTGCAGATGGGGCCTCACAAGATCAGAATAAAGGGGGACAATCACCTCCCTGTTCCTGCTGGCCACCCCTCTTCTGATGGAGCTCAGGATACCATTTGCTTTCCAAGCTGCAAGAGCACAGTGCTCTTGAATAGCATTTTACTCATTTCAAAGAGCTTTTGCTTTCCTAACGAAATCCAGTAATTTATTCTAAGAGAGAAGAAGCTCCTGGGAAGGCTCCTTGGCCTGACCTCATTTCCTTGTGGTTCTCATCTACAATTTGCATTGACAAAACACAGTTCTGCAGCATGGTTACAGAAAAACCAACCCGTGAAGCGACAGACTTTTACCAATTTGCTTAAGAGAATCATAATCATTAAGGTTGGAAAAGATCATCTAGTCCAACTGAATGACCTTCAAGCTTTTTCTATGTAACTTCCCTCAGTTTCTTTATACAAGGAAGCAAATAAATAGTGCTAGGTTAAGTCCACGGAAGCACAGTTTAGAGCCAGCCTAAAGCCAAGGTAGAACAATGACTATAAATGCTATTTTTGCAGCTTCTAAAAGCAGGAAAGCTCTGATAAGCTGTAGAACCACTGGCTCAGTATCTCTTAAGGGCCTGTAGAAGGGGACAGGCTTAATGTAGGAAGGAAAAAAGGAACCTTGCAACGACTAAAGAAAAACTTGTCCACAGCTGACACTTCAATTTCTTGCCTTTTCCACTCCCCCACACAAATAGGTTGTAAGTAGTAAAACACAACATTCATGCTTAAAAGCCCATGAAAGACTGGAACAACAAAGTGTTCTGCTCTGTGTGCTTCAATCCTTCTCTTCACACCACAGGCAAACATCCAGGAGGTGTTGCTACAATATGCACGTCTTATGACAGCTTTTGCTTACTAGGCATCTATAAACAGTGCAGAATAAATTAGTTTATACTTTTGGGAGCAGTGTTTACTTTTATTCCTCTACCACCCATGGATTTACTATTTTAAATATGCCAAAAAAAAGCATCTCAGGTATTATCTGCCCACCCAAGGGATAAAGTACAAAATAAAATAAAAAATATCTGCTGTAATTCAAGTCTATTCAAATTTCTCAATTCCTTCAGTTCCCTTTGTTGTTGTTCTTTAATGTATCACTTCAGTGACACGTGAACACCCAAGCAAGCTTTGTGCAATTCTGCCTTACAGTGCCTTGAAATTGTAAGCAAAAGAACACCTGCACTATAATTTAAACAAGAGAAAAGAGTAGAACCTTTTCTTTTGTTATCCATAACAGTTTCCCCTCTACTGGAATAGGATGCCCAAGGAGGCTGTGGATGCCCCATCCCTGGAGGCATTCAAGGCCAGGCTGGATGTGGCTCTGGGCAGCCTGGTCTGGTGGTTGGCAACCGTGCACATAGCAGGGGGGTTGAAATTAGATTATTGTTGTGGTCCTTTTCAACCTAGGCCATTCTATCATTCTATGATATGATTATTTCAGCTTCCAAACTTGTATCTTTCCAATGGGGAAAAACTCAAAGTCTTCTTCATACTGAGTATTACCTAGTGAGAAGGACATATATGAAAAGCATGCTTCCCATTTACATATGGGACCCAAGCAATCCAGCACTCAGTATTCAACAGTGTTTCTGAGATGATGTAGAGTTTAGCAAATCAAACAGATTTGTTCTTGTGTACATCAGAAACAAGCTTCGTCCTCCACACCAGGGGAAATGTATAAAACTGGTTCTTCACCTACTCTTCTAGTACAGAAAACCTGTTATTTCCACTTCTATTTCTTCTGCTCCTAGCTTCCAGTCCATTCTCTGCTATCAAATTCATCAGCTTCAAATATTCACGCACACTTCAGGAATCACATTTGCAGATTTGGGGTCTGTGGCACTACTTACCTATTAATATCTCAACCACCTATCAAGAAATAGTACTTGAAGCTAGAAATTGTATTTGAGATTTACAGCAAAGCCATCAGACTTCTACATACTCATGCATTTCTAGGAAAGAAATCCTAGCAGAGGTAAAAAGGAAGGGCAATTCCTACAGTAACACTGAGTATCTGAGAATACTCTTATTGCTGTACAGCACTACACATGGCACCAACAGCTCATTACTGAGCCAACCCAGATTCACCAGGTTTGATATTAATTACATCAATATGACATGCAAGTTACTGCTGCTGCATGGTGCTCAGCAGCCTTCCAGAGCTCTTGGGACACGGTCTGCAGTAATAAACAAAGTTTTCCTTGGTTTCCTGTTCAATGACTCATAGAGCTCATCCTTTGCAGACTCTGAGCATCTTTCCACACTCCTTAAGCTATTGTGCAGGTACAGGTACTTGCCAGAGTGAAAGCTGTACTTGTTTTCTGGAAGCGAGGCTGTGTAACTTAGAGTAAAATTTCACTCAAATCGTTTTACACTTGTTCTTTAGCTAGACAATGCCTGAGTATGAAAAGCTATGTGGTGAAGATATGCCCCGAAAAGGTCATTTTTAACAGATTGCTTGGCAACCTGAGCATGTAGAAAGCAGGAAACCACTGTAAGGTAAAATATCATTAAGGCAAAAGGCTACAACTGGCTGCTGCCTTAGCAAGGAGGACTCTGGAGAGCTGCAGGACACTGTGTGTTGCCCACAGACATTCCCTAAAAAATGGGAAGCTGCAAGTCCAAATGGGTTATGCTGTGCCACACCACACTCTTCATTCAGTTTCAGGCTCCCATATGCAATTCAATACTCAAGTTTCATATTAGCCTAAGTCATTCTTCTTTCTTCTTTTCATTTGTATGCTTAAAAGACCACTGAAGATAATTTTATATTACATTTGCTCAAATGAATCTTTTCCTCTCAGGCTCACTCCCTCTTATCTAAAAAAACTTTAACCTGTAAATCCAGTACACGTGGTTTACTTTTACCATTGCTGCAGAAAATTCACAGGTCATATTATTATGCTGTGATCAAACACATCCAGGCTCTCTCCTCCTTGAGTGATCTGTGCACAGCTTACAACAACAGTAGCTGGTATGTGCCCATCAGTTCTTCCATTCTGAATCATTTCAAATTCTACCCCCTCTTTAGCAGTGTTAGTCCTCCAGGTCTCCCAGTTCATTCTTCATCCTCCTCTGTACTTAGCGATGTCTCTTAGATTCGTATCATCATAAATACCATCAGGATGTGACTCTTTTCCTGCTATAGGTCATTAAATAAAAACACTCCCATAATCAATCTGAGAAAGTCCAGACCAAGTCTGGCTTTCATCATTTCCCTTAGTCATTTTGCACTACTCACTCCCTTACCATATTTGCAATTCTCAAACTGATCTCCTTCTCCAGCTTGCTCTGTTATTCATGGGAGAACATATCAACACTTTTGTAATGTCTATACAAAAGATTTTTTAACTGTGTTTCCTAATGTAGAAAAAGCATTTGTCAAAAAAAAAAAAAGCTGTCAGGTTAGGCTTCATCTAATTTTCTGTTTACCTTTTAACTTTCTCTGTTAGAAATTTGCTTCAAACTCCTGCAAAAGATGACTGTGCAAATAATAAAGGATTCTACATTTATTTCATTATTCATCTACCTAGGCCCATTCGCTGAATGAAGATTTTGAGCCCTACAGTTGTACAACCAGCATCCCACATGGAGCAAGTAAATGAATCTGGATGGAAAATGTTTTTGCAGATGACTTCATGCCTGCAACCAATCTTCCTTCATCTCTTTCCTTCCATAAGCACAAATATACATGTGGTATAAGCACGTAACAGGGATAAGCAACTAATCTAATTTAAAGCTAACTCTGAACGGTTTTAACCTGTTCATTTCCTCATCAGACAGTAAATTGGTGTGCTGGTTGGGAAAGAGGAGAGGTCAATGATGCTGGCTTCAGAACATCTACAGAAGTAGGACCTATGCCTGTTTAGCATGGAAATTAGGTAAAACAGTGCTTTAGTCATAGAAATTTTGATATAAGCAAAACAATACAAGCCTGTAAAGACTAGTGCTATTTTGTTTGATTAATTGATGAAACAGAAAAAGAAAAGAAACAAAAAGCCTACAGATCAGTTTTAAGTGTTTTCTCCTTCTAATGACGTGTAGTGCCCAGCTAACTAAAGTGCACATCTCATTCCTTCCATGGCTGAATCACTGAGACCCTTGCAGACCTGTAATATCTGAATGGAGAATAAGCAGCTGGTCTCTAATTCCACAGTACCATGAGTAACAAATTGAATTCCCTTCATTCCCTTGCTGACAATATGCAATTCATTAGCACAAGTTGGGAAGGAAAGTGGAAAGGAGTTCACTGGGAACTAAAGCTTGGATCCTGTCAACTGAATATAGTGGAATCCTCTCCCATTCTTCATAGGATTATAGAATGGCTTGGGTTGGAAGGGACATCAAGGATCATGAAGCTCCAACCTCCCTGCCACATGCAGGGACACCAACCTCCACATTTAATACTAGACCAGGCTGCCCAGGGCCCCATCCAACCCGGCCTTGAACACCTCCAGGGATGGACAGGGCATCCACAGCCTCTCTGGGCAGCTGTTCCAGCACCTCTCTGCTCTCCACTCTGAGTAAAGAACTTTCCCCTGATATCCAACCTAAATCTTCTCTTCTTCAACTTAAAATCATTTTCCTTTGTACTGCTATTATCTACCCTTTCAAAGAGTCCCGTTGCTCTTCATCTCTAAGAAAAAACACACTGTAACAATAAACAATACCAAGGTGTCCATGGGATTATTCTCCTTTCTCCAACGTTGACAAATGATGATGATGGCCACAAATACCTAGAGGAATCAAATGCTGTTTTACGTCCTAATGCTGCTTTCTCATACAGCTTGGTACTGAGACTATGGGCTACAATATGATGGTACAAACATATTTAATACTTAACCTTCAAGACTATACAACTCATTCAGCTGGAAAATACCTACTGTAATTATGCAGAGGACAAGAATTAGAAAATAACCTTGCTTAGCTGTGAGTCAGAGCAATGTTTCCTCCAGATTTACAACATATTTGGCATAGATAATGAAAAAAATGTCTGCAGTACTTAAGACCTTGGTATTTGGCCATAACTGTATGTTCTGCATAAAAATCAATTTGAAAAGAGTTATAAAAGTTCGGCACTTTTACTCACCTAAATCTTTTCTACATTGATTCTTCATGTATAAGTTATTACAGGGAATTCATACACAGAACCAAATGGAAACCAGTTGCAAAAAATTAGTGCTTTGGGGCAGCAAGTTAAAGTTTCCCTATTTCTCTTTCCAGACAAGTCATAATATTTATCTTAATATCTGTCATATGGAACTATACCTAAGTGAACACTCCAAACTGAGCTACAGTGAAGCTGTGATATACTTATTGCAGTAAATGTAGGTAGACTGGTAATTAGAGAAATAAAACAGTCCAACATCAGTAGTAGATTCCGCTATTGTAAAAATATATTTAAAATCTCTTCATTCAACCAGCTCAGTAAAAGTATCAGAAATTGCAATTTTCACCCTGCCTAATATCTTCCTGACAAAAAGAAAACCAGGATGGTAAAATGGAGTTTAATAAACGGGGTAAAAAACACCTGCAAGTCTCTCTTTTTATCTACAGGTAGAGTTAACAATTCATCCTTCTAAGAGAGATCATTTGGAGCAATTGAAAATTTATTTTATTCACCAGCACTTTACTAATCCAGCAACAGGAAGCATGTATCTTTTTTATGACTGCTGATGAAGCACGCACAATTTGACAAGTGACAGCACTACCAATTTCTGAAATTAAGGCTTTAAAGCTCTATCCTGTAAAGAGCTCAGTGAGTTTGCTCGGCAATTTTTTTGCTGTTATTCTTAATAAAAAAGTCATAAAAGAAGGAAAGCTACACATGGCATAGACAAGCAAGCATGACTTCTAAAGCCCTGTGAATGGCCAAGTGATGCATGTCCTAACCTGACACCAGCAGATGCACTTCAATAATTTTGGACAGTGTAGCAACAAAAGAGCCTGTACCAAATGTTTTATTAACAACTGTACAACCATAGAATCGTAGAATCATAGAATGGTTTGGGTTGGAAGGTACCTTGAAGATCATCTAGTTCCAAACCCCCTGCTATATGCTGGGACATCTCCGCTCAGATCAGGTTGCTCACAACCCCATCTAGCTTGGCCTTGAGTGCTTCCAGGGAGGGGACATCCACAACCTCAGTGGGCAACATATGCCAGTGTCTCACCACTCTCACAGTAAAGAATTTCTTCGTAATATCTATTCTACATCTACCCTCTTCCAGTTTAAAACCATTTTTCCTCATCCTGCTGCTACCTGGCCTTATAAAAAGTTCCTCCCCAGCTTTCCTGTAGGCCCCTTCAGGTTCTGGAAAGCTGCTATAAGGTCCCCTTGGAGCCTTCTCTTCTCCAGGCTGCGGAGCACCAGCTCTATCAGCACATTAATAGCAGACAGGACAGAATAAATAGCAACAAGGTCACTGCATAACACTGTAAATATTCTCCATTTAAATACAGCTTGAATTTATACAAATTAAAATTGAATAGTTAAAAAAAGAAAGTTGATACTGAAAAAGGGAGAGAAGACCATGGGGCTAAACTGCCTATGCCACGTCGCAGTTTCACAGCAGCCAGTAATAGGATAAAGCAGATCAGGACTCATTAAGGCCTTCCTCTTCTTATGTTTGTTAAACTGATGAAAAAACATGTAAGCTATTAGGTCAAATACTAAAACACCACATATCAAACCTACCAGTTTTTCAGGTCATCAAGTAACAGGATGGCAATGTGACAGGCAGCAATGCTGCCTAAAGACTATGTGAAAAGCAAATGGCATTTGCCTTCCGTTCTTCCTTCCAGCTATAGCAACCTATATGACATTCCAATAAAACAACATGGTTTAAACAAAACCAGCTTCTCCAACAGAGCAAGGCTTACCTGATGGAACACAGGCTGTTTCAATTTTAAGTAAACCTGCCAAGATTAAAAAGAGATAAATAAGTTGCAACAGAGAACAACCATAACATTTCTGATTTAAATGCAGCCAAGGCTTGTTCTGTTAGAATAAAAATGAGGGCCTACCCATATACCATTAAAGCTGATTAAACATTTGAAGTTTCCTCTGGCAAAATCTGGGGTTTCTTCAACCCATTTTAAACTGTGGAGTTATTTTGGAATGTTTGGAAACACAAATAGAGAAATTAACATCTAAGACCTCCTTTAACAGACTTGTAACACACAAAAACAATTAAAATACAGAAATTGCCAGGCACGCTGCTGATAAGCGCTGCAAGAAGATGATGTACTTTGCTTTGATTTGCTATTATGAATGTTTTTGACAATAATATTTCAGTTCTTTTTACCAAAAGCCAGTAGTTAATAGACACGTCGATCACACAGTTCATTTAAGCTCTACTGTTGGAGACAGAAAGGCAATATGCCCTAGGCATAACTTGCCACAAATGTAAAGAAAAGAAAGCTTAGGAGGTGCAAAAGAGAAGACAAGTCTTTTAAAGGAAAAAGACCTTTATCACTATTTTAATAAAATAACCTTTATCAAAAATAAAGAGATTCCATCTGTGGTTGACAGCCTGTGCAAAAGTCATTTTGTTCAAGCAGGTAGCTGTTTGCATTGAGAATGGGAAACAAGTTAGAAGAATTGAAACCCTGTTGAATCTCATTTCTTAATCAGCAATACACCTTTCTATTTGGGCTGCTGTTTTAAAACATCCCTCAATACAGCAGTTCATTACAGTTCGATTCTTGCAGCCTGATAAACAGGATTATTGTCACTTCTGTCAAAGAGTTTTCCTCAGGGACCTAAAAGGAATCATAGAATGGCTTAGGTTGGAAGGGACATCAAGGATCATGAAGCTCCAACCCCCCTGCCACACGCAGAGTCATTAACCTCCACGTTTAATACTACACAAGGCTGCCCAGGGCCCCATCCAATCTGGCCTTAAACACCTCCAGGGATGGGGGCATCCACAGCCTTTCTGGGCAGCTGTTCCAGCACCTCACCACTCTCTCTGTAAAGAGCTTCCCCCTGACATCCAACCTAAATCTTCCCTCCCAAAACTTCAAACCATTTCCCCTTGTCCTGCAGTTATCTACCCTTTCAAAGAGTTGACTCCCCTCTTGCTTATAGGCTCCCTTTAGGTACTGGAAGGCTGCAATGAGGTCACCCCACAGCCTTCTCTTCTCCAGGCTGAACAAGCCCAGCTCCCTCAGCCTGTCTTCATAGAGGAGGTGCTTCAGCCCTGTAAAAGGATACCTCAGTCCTAAAAGGATTGTTTTCCTCACATTCCTATCCTAGCAATTGGATTACTGTGTTGTTTCCTCTTCGTTTATTCTGTATAGTAGCTTAGAGAGAAAGGTTTCAGTTTACTAAGGCCAGTATGTAATTTTCCCACCAACAGTCATTCTTCACTGAAAGTGGGAGTGACTCAGGATTGCTTGTAGGATAGGAGGCTGCCAACATGCAGGTGAAAATGAAGTATCAGAAAAAGTTACTTACTATGCTGACTATGAAGCTGTACGTTATTAAAATGAAAATCATTGGATAATTGACTGTGTTCTTGTACTTGAAACATTCGTACCTGGAACAGAACATAAAGGAGAGAGAGAACATTTGTCACTTACCACATAAAGGATGTATTTTTCAAAAACAAACAAAAAACCCAACAGTAAGCTTATACATGTACTGAAAATAAACCAATCAGTGGAACATATTGAGAAAGCATAAACATTTTTCAAAAGTGCTTAAGGGGTGATGGGTGACAAATTAGAAATGAGTTTGAAATGCAATGCAAGTGCTCCAAAGCATTACGTCTGTGACCTAAAGTCAGTGTGGGAAAGGATCCACCTTACAAAACAGTGAACTCTTCAGTTCATAAGCTTTTGGAAAAGATACGAGCATGGATGAAAAAGAACAAAAGTGTAGAAATATCTGAAATATAATCTATGAGGCAGCACAATGCGTTACACTGCAAAATGCACTGCCAAAGTAATTGCATGGCCTGAGAGTCACTGGGCTTGAATGATGTATGAGGGAGAATCCCGTGCAGAACCACCTCAACTACCTCCAAGAAAACCAGAATGATTATTAAAGGCCTCCTGAACCAAGCATTAGCTCGTTCTTCACAGCATTTTAATTACTACCAACCAAATATAGTTTTGTTAGAGCTGTATGTGCAGTAACAGAGTTCAGTGCTTTTGAAGACAACAGTAACCACTGCACAAAATGAGTGTGATTATTTTTGCAATTGGTTTTCTAAAGCCTCTTCTTATCCCTTCTCCAATCACACTCAAATCAGACAAAATGAATGCAAAGGCAATTTCAAGGAGACAGGGAGCTACAATGGAAAATTGTAATAGAGACATTATTATTCTGCTCCTCAGTCTGCACAAATCATACTAATGTATGAATCACAAACTGATGGTAATTTCCACAAGATGTAGATTTAGTTCTATCTCAGACCATCTCCATTGCAAGCTACCTGTACCCTTTACAAAAAATATATCCAGTTTGCAAGTTGAATATTTGATCACATGTTCAAAAGCAACAAGACAATTAATTTCTGTCTGCAACGGGTCCTTTTAATCATTTGGATTTTCCAAGCAATGGAAGAAAGTGTATTCCATCCAGGCCTTGAAGCAACAGGCAAGAAAAATAACTTACTGTATCTTTACTAAATGCCACATTATTCCTGAAATTAAAAGGTACAGACCATCCTGGCATAGCATTAAGCTGTCATGCATGTTCCAAGACATTCTTCACAAAATTTGCACTTAACGCCCTTTTTTGCTTTACTTTTCCAGATGAGTGAAAAGCAGGTTTAACCAGAAATCTGAAATTCGCATGTAAAGTCAGACTATGTCATAAAAACATAGCTGCAACTAATTGCCACGTTGATAATTTCGTCAGTATTGCTGAAGTAATTTTCTTATGTCAGCTGCTTACACACCAAGTACCACAGCTCTGGTTGGATGCAGTGCAATTCCTTAATGCTTTCCTGCTAAACAAGCACTAGGAAAACATCTCTAAATTAGCAAAAACAAGGATTTAAGTCAACTTGGTGCTCTAATGGCCAAGTCACAATGTTGTACTATTGGCAAAATTGAGATCTCATTGAAAGCAGCAGAAGCCTCAATGTCAGCCTCTCTGTTGAGCTCCACATATGCATTGTAAAATCTAATATTTCAAAAATATTCAGAAAAAAAAAAACATTTAACAAATACTTACAGGCAGTAGACAAAGACACAACAACTGTATATCATTGGCAGTTCATCCAACAGCTACAAAAAGCAGAGACATCAAAACATGAAAACTGCTTTTAACTTGTGTAAATTAATTAAGGAAAGAGAAGACTTAAGAAAATAAGACTTTTACATCATTTCAATTTCCCCTTCTCAAATCAACTTCAATATGAGGAAGTATCAAATCCTATTCGATTACTGAAATGTTACTGTATTAATAAGCTAATTACACTGGATCTTTGGAATATTACATTACATTATGACCACACCACTTGGATCCTGCTTGGTGCAATCACATTCTATAGGAGCTTCTACAATACATTCTATACAAGCTGCTTCTATGCTAGCTTCACAAACTGTAATGATATCATTGCTCCAGAATGTAAAATAAATCTTGAGACCATTAGGAAGCACTCTGAAATATGCTCAAAGGTTTACTTTCTAATTTTGGTAATTTCTGACACTGTTTTAAGTCTGAGATGGCTTTTTCTGGTGATTTGTGGCTTTGTTTCTTTGTTTTTCATGTTCTGACTGCCAAATAATGTCTTTAAATATTTTTTATTATTTTGGAGATCAGTGTTATTTCTCCACCTCAATTTTCATGAAATTAAAACAGTTATCACCAGAGAGGTGATTTCTCAATTACAGGTACACATACACTCTGAATTGTGATGTATTTATCCAAGAGGGGAAAACAAAAAGAAACTCACACAACTTTATAGCATTATTCTATCCTAAAATTTTTCTCAAGGAACACCACCACGTTTCTGCTCATAACACAGTTTACTGATTTTCCTACGAAGGACTGAAAATCAGGAAAATGCAAAAGCAAGCGAATGCATCAGTGAAGATCTACTGTTTCTGATGTGTCATGGATCAAACACTAACTGTGAGCCACTTTAGAACTGTTACTCCCACAACACAATGGATTTTTTCCTAAGAAAAACAAGAACCAGACGCAAAGCCGTTTTGATCTATTTCCTCCATCATGCTGAAAGTTGTTGATGGCCATGTTTGTACAGAAACTCCCTTCCCATTACTGGTAAAGGATAGTTAGCTAGTTCATAATCTTGTTTTCCTGTATAATGATATGCCCAACCTGATTCTCCTCCATTTGGGAGCACTAGTCGAATTGCAAAGGCAAAAACCTTCTTTTAGTACTGAATATTTGTGTTGGAAAAAGTGAACTAGCTCTTTACCGAAGATGAATTATCCAAAGCATGAACTATAAAGCTTTCCTTGGGTTTGGTCACAGAAACTTCAGGAAATATTTCACAATACAGCTAAACAGATCTAAGCCACCAAAAGGGCAGATCTTGCTCTTCTTCAAACATACCACCAGCGCCTCTCGAGCCAGCAGACATGTTTGTCTGACCCATGGAGAGCCACTTCTAATAGGTCGATCCAGCACAGAGCTAAAACTGCAGGAAAAAGGTTTTAATCCCTGAATTATAGGGCCGGGGACTGCAATAGGTAGCACAAAGAAAGGATTAGGAACAGTGGGCAGATGAAGCCAACAGACATGCTAGGTGGCACTCTGCCACCAGATGAGTTCATCACCATTGTGATGTCTCAGGGAGAAAAAGAAAGAAGCAATAGCTGAATTCTAGTTGATAATAATAGTTACTGTTAATTATAAGTTCAGTGATACTTTCACCGAGTCTGAAAAGAATTTTCTGCAGGATTAATTCATTCATAGTTCTTTAAGAGCATGAGTGATTCAAGGTCTCATAAAAGAAAGAGAGGGTAAAAAGAATGAGAAATAGTATTTAGAAAATACTTTCACATTTGGACAGCTGTGTATACCCCGAAGTTCATATGCTGGCTGCTTTTCAGGGACAGAACAATAACAGCAAAGAGGTCTCAAAAGATCCTACTTAGGATTTGCCTGCAGAAGAAAATGGCTTCTGTCTCAAAAGGAGTTCATCTTCCCCAAAATGCTGTGACAGGATATCTGGACACAGAAGGAACGTGTATAGAAGGGAACTGATTTAGCTGGTTAAAGAAGTATTTTGGATCCCGCAAACCATGATTGAGCAAATAAAATCAAAAAATAAAATGGAGAAAAAGGCGGTTGCTTCAGGAAAAAAAAATTCTCAGGAACTGGTTTTGAGAGCAAAACTTTAACGTTTCCCTTAATTAAAGCACGTGAATTGACCATTTACAGTATTAAGATTGAAACAAATGTCAAGAAATTCACTTCAAACAGCTGTCAAGAGCTGACTTTGAATCATAACAAGAGAGAAATTGTACAAGAAAAGACTATTTACTAGTTGAAATGTTTCTTCTATGGTGATTCATTGCTTAATAAGCAGAGTATTATGGGCCACTTGCAGATTTAGCTTGGCTGCCAAAATAATAAGTGTACTTTAGCTCACATAAAGCCTTTTACTCCAGTGGGAAAAATGATGCAAGTCATTGCTGCTCCCCTCTCCTGTGCTTCTGTTCACCCTTTATACACCATGGTCTGGAGGATGCTTAGCTGTTCTGATGCAACACCAGAGCTACATGATAAGCAGCAAAGTCACATGGATTTAAAAATAAAAACATAAACCAACCACCCAGGTTTTTTTAAGCCTGGATCATTTTTGTGTGGCCACGCTCACCTGCAAGAAAGAGAGCCCAAGGAAACAGCATGAAGCTGCTACAGGGGAGGTTCAGGTTGGATAATCAGGAAAAGGTTCTTCATTGAGAGGATGACAGGGCACTGGAACAGCCTCCCCAGGGCAGTGGTCATCACTCTGAGCTTGCCAGAGTTCAAGAAGCATTTAGGCAAAGCCCCCAGGGCATATGGTCTGATTTTTGGGTGGAGCTATGTGGAGCCAGGAGTTGGACTTGATGATCCTTATGGATCCCTTCCAGCAGGGGATATATGATTCTATGAAAGAGGATCTGAAAGTCTGGCAGGGTTAGGAACAAGCAGCTGAGAGAAGAGAGATGAAAAGGTGCAAGTTTTTCCACTGAGATAGGATTAACTTATATTAGCTATAAGTTAGGAGGGAGTGGGGTGATGGATCCAGGAAGAAGCTTTCTCCATGCCAGAAAAAAAAGAGCAGCAAATAATTAAATGGTGGTAAGAGAATGCTTCATTGTGACTTATCTCCAGCACATGCTACGAAGTTGAAAATGAGCATCACAGAGGCAAGCATCACTACAGACTGTAATTTGGATCAAATTCAAGACATCTAATTTTTGGTGTCCATCTACGCAGTCTCAGGTCCCATTATGATTAACAAAAATTCAAGACTTGATTTAGTTGCCAAGGCATAGGCTATCTCAGATGCTCAGGGTCTCCACTACACCCTCTCAAGGTTGGCAGACACAGTATGGGATCCAAGAGACCTGCACTCTTGGGGGATGGCAGCTGGAGGCCAGACAGAAACATGGTCTGAAATGACACACATTTTTGTTTTGGTAGACTGCTATGATTCAAATTCAGACTACCAACGTAGAATCTGTGTAAACACAGATTCGTAGCACACAGCGTAGGTTTCTTAATTTTGAACTAAATTTCATTTTATTCTTTGATATAAAGACAAATTTCCTTCATTCTCTTAGACCTAAAACAGGGCAAAGTTCTCTTTGTCCCTTTAGAAAATGAGTAATATCAGGACAAATCCTTATGTCCATTGCCTGATTGCTGAATACCTTCTGCTTGAGAATGACTCTACCATTGTTTCTCAGCAGACACTGACTGCAGTATTTGTGCTACAAGTATATCTAGATCAATAGAAAACATAATAGAAGACATTAAGTTGAAAAAGATGATACAGTGAATAACAGTAGTCTATATTGCTTGCTATTAAAACACAGCTGCAGGAATTTTAAAGTACCAGTGAGTAAGAAGACAGTATGATTTCCCAACGAACAAAGTGTCTTCTACAAAGTAAGCAATCGATTAGAGCTCTTATTTTAGGATATGTACATCTATTAGTGTAAAACATCATGTGGAATAAGATTCACGTACAATAATTTCTGAGGTACATTAACTCCTGTTACACAAGTTTCATCTAGTCAAGAAATGGCAGTATGACTGCATAGTGAGAAACACAATGAGTCACAGGGACTTATCAATACTTACTTGCATTTCATACTTCAGGGTCATGTGGAAGCACCAAGATCCCAATCCCACAGCTGAAAACACCAAAGCCATGGTTAGAATACAAGTCTATGTTGAAAACATTTTGGGTGCATTAACTTAAACATTCAAAACTTACTGGAAAAAAAAGCCATCAGCATCTTATCTCAGGGACACAAACTCAGTTTTCCATGGCTGCCCACTTTATATTGTCTTTTTTTTTTTTTTTTTTGCAGGGGGAGGGAGGCTTCCCTGTCTCCTATTATCTAGTATGATTTCACTTGAGATTAGGAGTGGAGGGAACCCACAATGAATGGAATAGCATTATTGCAGCTTTCTTTTTAGAACATTAAGACTTTGTCAATCTTATAATGCAAAGCATCATTCTAATATGGCTATCCTGAAAGTCAGCAATATTTCTGCTTATCATCTGGTTTTAAAGGTAAATTTTACAAGTAGCTTTTGGCCAGTTATGGAGGCACAATGTTACTAGAACTCAGAATCAGAAATTCAAAGTACACAAACAGAATCCATCAGTATTCATTCATTCTGTGAAATGTGAGCACCATCTCCGAGCTTCCTTCCTGCAAGCTAATCCTTCCATATGATCCATTTTATTTATTTGAAATACTTCAATTTCACAAGTAAATTCAGAATTTAATTTATGAGACATATGCTTTGCTTACACCAAGTTCTTAGCAGTTAAACAAGGAAGTGTTTCTCCTAAGTTAGATTTCATTATTTAGAGCAAAGCCAGTAGAGTATTTAATCTATCATTCACTGCTTCGGAACGTGAATAATTAAATACTCTCATTAAGCACCAGCTCATTTTTATTTTGGAAGAGTAACTACATTAATGTGATATCCTGTCTTCCTTCAAGAAATGAAGCTTTACCTCATCCAGTTTCAGAGAAAGCCAACTATTCAGAGAAAGCACTGGGTAGTGCTGCTGTGCAGCCTTTGCTGCAAGAACATAACCTTCTTTTCTACACCCACCAGCTTGGCTTCACTGAGGCATTTTTTATACAGGATTCCCAAGGCAGCTGATAGACACGTCTGGAGATGTTTCTTTAGATGCTTTTAGGCTGGAATTGTGATTATATGTACTCAACAAAATGAAATACCAAAGCACGTTGCTGTACTGAAACACAGAACTGTAACAGAGCTACACTGCCAAACTCTCCAAATTCATATATATGCACTCTGTAACTTACAATGGACTTCTGATTACATTGCTTGGCTTTTGAAAACTCTTTCTGAACAATAGGCAACCACTTCATGGGATTTTAATAAGAAATTCTCACAGCTGTATTTCTGTACATACAGAATAGATTATAACTATTAATCACTCTGAAGAAAAAGCACATTGAGATCGTAATTAAAACAGTGCCACCCATTACTGTGGCTGTCATGCTGATTTTAGTATCTTCATGATATAATCCATTAAAAATCGACTATAACTATAATTTTCAAATATGGACAAAACCATTGCATAACAAATTGCTACTCATTTTAAATTAACAAAATATGTTATTAGGTTTCTTTTTTGTTTGTTTTTGTTGTCATTTTATAAATGTTATTGAGGCTATAAATCTCAACAGTTTGTTTCTAAACTCACTCCTCCCCTTCCTCCTACATGATTAGGAGCAGTTATTTCAAGATTATTTTTCCTATTCAGTCTTTATCACCAAATGTCACAAGTAATACTGTTTCAAGTCATTAATCCCAGGACAATAATTAATTTCTAGGAACAGTTATCAAAATACTGTTGTTCCTGTGTAATGGTCACACTGTTTCTTCTTCATTCAAGGCCAGGCTGGATGTGGCTCTGGGCAGCCTGGTATAGAGGTTGGTGACCCTGCACATAGCAGGGGGCTGAAATTAAATGATCATTGTGGTCCTTTGCAACCCAGGCCATTCTATGATTCTATGAATTCTTCAATAGTTTGAAGAATTCAAACTATTAATTAGAAAAATTAGATCTGCCACATAAGCAGTGGTAATTTATGTTAATATAAGACTATCCATCAGCATTAAGAATTATTCTTTAATCATAAACCTAAAGTATCTACAGAAAAAGCAACATATTAGGATCACCTAGATGTGGTATGAATTTAAACTCCTCAGATCCTACACAAGAACACTGCAAAAGGTGGGATGAAATTTAGCTCTAGTTGCTAACACCTTTATTTAGGTATTTACATATTTACCTGGTATCAAAGCTTCCACTAAAGACAACGCCATTATAAGAGTGATTCAGCTGGCCAACTATACCATACCACAAACAGTCAAAGAATGAAAGATGAAAAAGCAGAATTAAATGAATTATTTTTATTATTTTGTTTTCTAAACTCAGTACTGGTTTCCCTCCTCAGACAGGAGTGATCTTGGCTACTCCCACAGTACAGCCCTACCAATGAACACAAGCACAGCTGGGTCAGTTCCCAGACACCATAATGCAAGTGTCTGTGCTAGAGAATGGTTAGAACAGTCTGTGGCATAAGTCTGGCCTGTTCCAACTAGCACTTTCCCCAGCAGTTCCCAGCACAGTCCAGCAGCCAGAAGAGCCCCGAGCTCGTGCCCAATAGGATATTTGTATGCTGTCACCCTCTTTTGGATGCTGAGATGAACAGACAGACCGTTTCACACTGCTTGGCTTCAGCATGCAGGATCATTCCTAAGCACAACTGATTTACAAACACAGTCTTTGCAGCTTTGGCTCTTAGGTAAAAATAAGGGAATCAATTTGGGGTGAATGGGTTCTAACAACTATTATTACAGATGCAGAGTTTCACTGGAAACACAGTTCAGAAAGAAGTATGTATATTTAAATCAAGATCCATCTGGAACATAAAACATTTGGGAATCACACTTTCCCATAAGAACAGAAAATGTCATGTGGTAAAACCTGATAAAATACCACAGCATCAAAATGAGCCACCCAAAACCAACTGGTTTGAGGTAATGACAGTCTGATCTCTTCTACCTGCTTAATGAGAAGCAAAATGCTAAAGCAATTGCTTAAGAATAATCTTAGTAATGTTAGATTGACTGATAAATAGTTCTCACTAAAAATCTTATCCTTTTTCTATTGAGTTCATTGACAATATGCCCTTTGAGCTGAAGTGCAGCAGAAACAAAGGCTGAGAACAGTGTGCTGTATCTCAAAACACTTGTAAAATGCAACCCAGTTTTGGCACCAGCTGAACAAGTAATTTATTTAAACAGTTATTCAGAAATCCCCATTCTTGTCGAGCCAAGTTGGGATCTTAGCACGTATGTGAAATGAACAGTCCTCCCCTAATTCAATATGCACTGGGTTCAAAGAGGAAATAGATGTCAGCAGCAGAAATTGTAGGGTATAAAATAAAGCACTGAACACAGCGTGGTGAAACAAAGGACCTGACAATCAGCTAAATGTCTGGAAGCATCCAAAAGGAGCAGCTGATTTGGATCAAAATAACGTCTAGAAACAACACTTACATTCTCAAATGCTAACAGATTTCATTTCAATGTCCGCTTTGACAGCTGTCTATTAGCTTCTTGTAAAATATCAGTAATGATTCAACACTGTTAACTAACTAAAGTGTCCCCTCCCACCCCCACGTCTTCACAGCAGAACGGAGAAAGACTTTCTACTTTGACAAAACAACCCATTGACAGCAGAGCTCCTAACTGGTGGTGTTTTCAATGAAGCATAATGCCTCATGTGAAACTAACACTTTTGTGTTAAATTCAATGCTCCTTTATGGATTAAGTCTATATTCGTGGTAAGTTACTGACACAGAATGAAATCTGTTCATAAATAAAACCATTTTCAGGAAAAGTACTCTCTGGCACTTTCTAACAAAAAGACATTTCTGTACACCTACTCTCTCTGTGTCAGTATGTTTGTCATTCAGTCACATGCAGAGATAGAATGCCAATGTTCTTGGCACATTTCAACTACATTTAAAATTCTGTTTCTCTTCTCATTTGCTGCTTTTTTCTTCTGTAATAGAACAGATGTTAAGAAGCTTGTGATTCCACACCATTCTGCTCTTGTTTTTCCACCAAGAAGCGATAAAACTGTTTATGTTCCTTTACATCTCCCAACTGCTGCAAAACAGCCCAGCATTATGAATACTGAAATGGAGACAAAACAGAAGAGAAACAGACTGGGTCACACACAGTGACCTGTAACGTGAGGTTCTAACATAAGAAATGAAAGTCGAGTCATGCAAGCATTATCACTTCAGACTGCATTCAAAGGCTTCTTCTCCCCAGTCACAGATGAGCCCAGCTGGAAGTCAGAACTGCCCTGCAGCAATGCTGCCAAGTATGCAGGCTGAATTCCCCTTCATGAATACCAGAAACAGCAAGAAAATGGAAGTCTATGGTGTTTATTATGAACGAAGACAGACTCTTTTACCCCAGTAAGTGGTATATGATAGATGTCAGTTCAGAGCTGGAAATCCCTCTAGCAGTCTTGGTGTGACATCCTGATGTTCTGGTCAAACAATGGCACAATTTGTCCATCATGAAGCAGCTACAATTTATAGCAAATAGTGAGGCTCAACAATTTTACCATTTTTCAGTTTAGAAGGAATCTTTTAGAAGGAACTAATCTTTCAGTTTAGTACAGGATACTTTGATTCAAGAACAAGGGAAGAGTCAACTTCAGCAAAGCTGAAGGAAGGGAAGTCACCCAAAGAGACCTGGTCCCGAATGATTCAAGTGGGGTTTAGTGAAGCTAAGTGCATGGTGCTGCACTTGGGTCCAGGCAATCTCAGATATGTGTACTGACTGGGAAAAGAACCCACTAAGAGCAGCCCTGTAGAGAAGGACTTAAGGGTGCTGGTAAAGGAAAAGCTGGATATGAGCCAGCAGTGTGTGCTTGCAGCCCAGAAGGCCACCAGTATCCTGGGCTGCAACAACTGAGGGGTAGCAGCAGGGTGAGGGAGGGGATTGTCCCCCTCTGCTCTTGTGAGGCCCCATCTGGAGCACTGCATCCAGGTCTGGGGCCTCTAGCACATTACGGATGCAGAGCTGTTGGGAATGGATCCAGAAGAGGGCCATGAAGGTGCTCAGAGGGCTGGAGCACCTCTCCTATGAAGAAAGGCTGAGGGCATGAGGCTTGTTCAGCCTGGAGAAGACAAGACTTTGAGGAGACTTCAGTATGGCCTTCCAGTACACAAGAGAAGCTTATAAACAGGAAGGAAATTGACTTTTTACAGTCTGATATCAATGGGACAAGGAGGAATGATTTTAAAGTAAAATAGGGGAGATTCAGATTAGATGGTAGGAAGAAATTCTTTTTTCAGAGTGTGGTAAGGCCCTGGCACTGCTGCCCAGAGAGATGTGGGTGCCCGATCTCTGAAGATGCTCAAGGCCAGGCTGGATGAGACCCTGGGCAGCCTGAGCTGGTGGGAGCAACCAGCCCATGGCAGTGGTTAAAACTCAATGATCACTAAGGTCCATTTCAAACCAAGTCATTCTGCGATTCAAATGCTTACACACACTTTCACTTTCTCTCCAGCCTTCAGAAGCTCCTTCCACCGAAGTATTTTAAACTGAGACAAAAAAAGAACAGTTACTCAAAGCTCTAGAACACCTACATATGGCTATTTGGAAAGTTCTCGGGAGATTCCATAGTTATATATTTTGTTGCCTATATTTCACACGTATTAGCAAAGCTGAACTAGGTCTCCAAGTAACTGAAAAACCCTAAGTTGCACCTCGTGCACATAACAGCTCCATTGGCATTACGAATACACTTAGCATATGGTTGTCTGCTTTCTGACAATGTTTATCTAAATACATATGCATGCCAGTTTTAAATGTAACATTTGCAATAAGCAAGTGTCTTAGCACTGAGAAGACTGGGAAAGTCAGCCTCCCCAGAGAAGGGAGCTACAGCAAACAGATTTGTGAAATCCACTTCTAGAGACCCTACTGCCAAGTCTGAATGGTCTTAAAACATCTTTTCTCAGAAGGAACTTGATTAGTAGCTGCATAACTGAAAATTTAAAGGAATGTTTATTTTCCGTATTTTGTTATTACAGGAAATAACAGACTGCAGTGAAGTCCACTGATACACCAAGGTCCCATTTTTTTTTTTTCCCATCCTTGCAGAACTTCCCAAATACAACAGCAGTTAGGTTGTTGGGGCCAAACAAAAATTGAAAGCCAATTCCAACTCATGAAAGAATGCTCTTTCAGTTCCTCTAAAATCTTGCCTGTTTCTATGAAATACAATTATTATTAAGAAAAAGAACAAAAAGCACACTAATATGCTATTAAGCTTTTGAAAATAGCACCACATAAGAGACCTTTTGCATGAAAACCTCACAGAGTTATTTAATACACTCTAATTTCACGCTCTTGGTTGCGGCTGGACTTGATGATCTTTAAGGTCTTCTCCAACCTGAGCAATTCTGTGATTCTAAATAGTATTTTCCTGTGAATATAAACCTCAATGTTGTTGAGCTGTTATAGTTTCACACAGTATTTGGATTCCATGACTTGGTTTATTAATATTTGGATACTGTTCACTGATCTTTTCTTATAAAGGGAGGCAGAAGCGCAAATTAACTTTTACACGTACCTGTAAGACATAAATACGCAGCTAAATACCGCTTTTCAAGGCCATCTTTATAGGTCCGAATCGCACCATAGATTGGAGGTAGAATGAAAATCAGGTTACTCACTGTGTTCCCTGTAGGACAGAAGCAAAAGCAGAGATTAAGCATTGGGTACGACACACTTTCAATATATAAAGCTGCTTCAACAGTTGTCACCCAGGAAGCTGCATCTTTTTGAAACTGTCTTCTGCTTAAACATAACACACACAAATTCTGGTGCAACATAGTTAACCATTTGAAGACTGTTTTCACTCTTTTTTCACTTTCCATAGTGATAGAATACTAAACCAACTGAAAAGATTGGCTTGGATAATGATAGAGTTCCCTGATTGCATGGAACATGAATTCAAACCCAAGTCCTTCAGGAGATAAAATTTCCAAATAGCTCAAGCTACGTATTCTAAGAGCTGTTTGTTTTCTTTTCTGCCTTCACAGTTCTCCCCACTACGCTTCCTTCTGATACCTTATGGTCACTGAGTGACTCCTAAATTACCAAGTTAACAATTCCTAAATTAACAAGTTCAATCTACTATTTGTGTACAATCACTGCATCACAAATCACAACACGATCAAAGACTGCAAGAGGGTTCGGTAAGGAACAGCAAAGAGTTAAGAGCAAGAGGGTATGAATAAGAATAGCAAAAAAGTTAGAAGCCACTAACAATCAGCATGACAGGCAACTGCCAAAGCTTATCAAAAGCTGGAGCTGCAGCAAGACGTTGCTGCTCTCCATCCCTCCTGCTGAAGCTGGGATGCAACACAAAGGAATGACGCATGTGCTGCAGAGATCAGAGACAGCACGAACAAGCACAGAGCCCAGCTCTCATACCAGGGGGCAGGACAGCCTTTCCAGCACTGGGGAAGATGAAGAAACCTTCCCTCTTCTTTTCTTTCTGATGACTGCTTAGCCATCCTCATTTAGACATGTTTTCAAACTGTCCTGGCCATTGGAAATATGCAACGAAATGGTGAGAAGTACAAGTGAAGCAAAAGGAAATAGCATGTTTCTCAGCAGAGAGGATTCAGATTTCGAGCCCAACCACAAATCAAAGTTTTAAGGAGAAAGGTTTTGCAACGGGAAGGAAATGACATGCAATTTAGGCAAGAGCAGATAGAAAAGAAGGCAGAACCTTGCTCACATAAATTAAGCTGCAAAATTTCACATGCCATCAGTTAAATGCAGATAGCCAAAATGTAAAGACTGACTTCCAAAGATCTCAATAACAACAAGCACAATGTATGAAGATAACAAGAGGCCAGAAATCAAAACAGCACTGCAAATACAGACCAGGTTGAACCAATATAACAGGCCTTCTGGATGCCTTACATCTCTGGGGAATTGTTAACTTATCAGCACGTTCCTACAGTGGTGCAGGAGACGAGGTTTGGAAGAAACCCGCTGAAAATGAAGCACTGTGTGGTACAGCACCATCACCATTACCCACAAATCAGGTAGAGATGTCATCTAACCTCAGAAAATAGAGCAAAGGCTACATAGCCTGGATAGCAAATCTCCTGCTTTCCGAAGGAGCTGTCAAATACATCCATCTAACAGAGATGTTGTTAGAATTCATGTAAATATCATTGTTAAAGGTCACTTTACTGTGAAATTGTCAAGAACCTGGCAAAAATTCAAATATGAAAGTGCTGAATAAAAGAAACGCCACATTGTTTATCCATAGATGGGAAGGCACGTGACCTTCAAAGCCATCTGCAGTAGGATAACAAACTGCTAATGGATACAGGAAGACAGAAAAGAGATTCTTCCGTAGGAAAACAAAGGCTTCAACACTTCCTGTAAAGTTATAATCATGTTAAATTATTGAAAATTTATGAGCATTTAATTTAAGACCATCCTGCTGAGATAGGAAATGCTGCAGACCTAACGTAGCTGCAAATTCCTGACACTCCTCCTGGGCAGTTTTTGGCCCATATTATTCAGAACGTTTATAGCATGGATTAAGCAAGCCTATTTGGGAAACATTTATTGAAAATTGTGCTGTTTTGTTTTTAAATAAAGGAAATAGGAGCAGGGGAGCAATGGAGTTCTGTAGCATGCTGCTGCCAAAATTGCTTATTTCAAGAACCAAAACAAGGCATTTATTCAACATACTGTCCCCAGCAGCGTGGATTTCATAAAAGTTCTGTTCATTTTTTCAGGATTATCCTTGAATAGAATAACTTACCAATTCATTAAAAAGGATTTTTACTAATTCCCTCAAAAATGGCAGTGGGATATGCACAGAAATTAGCAAACAATCCCAAAAAAGATGACAAGTAATTGCAGCCCCATTGCTCGGAAGGTAATTAACAAAGGACTGACTGAAACAAGTTTTAAAGGAAACAGATACTGAAGATGAAAATGGGTAAGTTATACTGTAAATATATACATAAAACCAGGCTCCACAAACACAGCATGGGAAATGCCATGGATAAAAGGGAGCTACTTGAAATAAAGGATAAGACTGACAAATGAATAAATACATATAAACGAACCTTAAATAAATGCATCCTAGAAGGTAGAAAATATCTTTCAAATGAGGAGGAATCATTTATGAATTACTTCCCAATAGTAACGGGCTGTCTGCTGCTTTAAAGTGAAGCTCATTCAGCTCCAATGCTGGAGTTAAGTGATATGGTGGCCTACGACCATGAAGATTATACTTGTTACCAGGTCAAGTAGGAGCTTAACTTGTAACCACTTTAATTGGCAGACTGGATGACCAACCTTGTCAAATTCCTTAAGTGTTTTCAAGACTACTATAGCACAAAGCATTGTTTTAGAGAACGATTTTATCCCTTGGGAGAACACCATACTGTACCAAAAAAAAAATCAGATCATCATTTCAACAAGCCTTTGTCTCCAGGAAGGACAGCTCTATCTGTGTTTCACCACAGCTGCACTCTATTATACAAACAGAGCAGCAAAACTGACTGGTCTTTTTTTCCCCTAAGCACATATAGTCTTCTTCAGACCGTTAAAAATATACTTATGGTATGATAAATGCATGAAGATCTCTACAGAGACTGAAATTACATGGTTTATGGTTTACACCAAAATTACGAACAAAACTTCAAGAGGAAACAGCATTTACAGGCAGACATGGGCACAATATACTCGGTACTCTTATCTGAAGAGCTTGGTATAGCTAAGGTATACAAACCTGAAGGACCCTTCCACAAGCTTTCAGTTTTCCCCAAGATGTAGGCACTTCTGCGTTAGAAAGTTATTTCTACAATAAATGTGGATGAGAAATTACAAGGATAAACCACATGAAGGTGCAAATATGTCAAGCATGATCAGAAGAAGTACTTTGCAGGATGCAGGAACATAGCACAAGGAGAGAAAATAGGAATGTTTTCATTGAAGGAAGAGAAGTGGTATTTAAAAAGAAGCCAAAATTATCATCATCTGCTTTTGGCAAAGTGACCTACACGGTTTACAGTGTTAAGAGATCCTTTCTCCTGTGTTTGTACATAGAATAAGTTAAGATTTACCAACTGTATGGGCCTTTTCAAATGTTAAGACGTTCTCCTTCCTGCTCTCCATCTGGCTGTCTCACACTCAAAGGAAGACTTTTGAATTCAATATGGTTTCTGCAAGGCTCAAACCAACAACAAAAATAACTATTACCTTCAGATAGCGAAGAACAACATGATTTTTTTCCAGCTTAAGATGTCAACTAGATATTAAAAGCTCATAAGAATCATGATATTAATTATAGGCTTTCAACCTATCCTTAAAATCAACAGCAGCTCACTATGAAACACAAGAAAGGGAAGTAGCTGCTACGTTCTCAAATATATACACCTAGCTCCTATAAAGTCAGTATGTCTTGTGTGATTAGAAAACAAACAAGATTTTGAGGCAAAAATAATCTATTCCACTGTGTGCATGTCATGCTGCACAGCGCAATTTTAGTGCAGTACCTGGATCACATAACTGCTCCTTTTTTCCCATTAATGGATAAAAAAACAAAAATAATTTTTTAAAAAAATAAAGCCTGTCAGATGGCCTCATGATACATTCAGAACTTGAATCATCCTTTTAGCTGATTTCAGATACAAGGAGTTCTCTCTCACAGTTTTTGTTTTTGGAAGCATCTCAAGCAGCTCTGGTGCAAAGCGTGGCTCTTTATTCGAGGGTACAGCCACCTATCATGGAAATATCCTCTCCTTAAGAAAGGCTCTTCATGGAAGGATTTCTAGAGATAAGAAACCAAAGAAACTCAGAGATTAACAAAGTGCAAGGATGGCATAAGAAGATTAATCGCAGCTGAAGCAGGTGAGGTGAGACAAAAAAATGACAAAAAGGTGTTCAAATTTGAATTCCAAACTGTCGCCAGTAGGCAGCCTAACAACTTAAACACAAAGGAGGATTCTAGAATATCTCCTTACCAGAATCTCAGGCAAATCCATTATGGAAGTCCTTGCTAAGACAGAAGTGCTTCACAGCTCACCTACCCATGGCATTGTAAGCAATCAGCAAAGGAATTAATTTGAAGAAAATCCAGCGAGTTTCTGTACAGTACACGCTATATATTATCAATGAATAATAACTAACTCAGAGCCCAGAAGAGGTTTGCATCACTGATTTTCCAAAATCCAGCATTTCATAATTGCTGAGAAAACCCAACTATACAGGATCAGCTGGTTTGGCTACTACCTTCAATCTTGAGCTGCTTTCACTTAAGTTAGCACCAGGAGGGCTGTCTAGCAATTAAGATTTCAACTTCCACCAGCCATTTTTTAATATCTTCCACTTCAAAGACCACAATAACTGCACTTCAGAGCATCAGGAAATGAAAACTCCTGTCTCCGTTTGATATTTCAGAAGGACCTTGAGGGGAGAAAAGCAAGTCATCCTGACGGGAATTCTGCCAGCAGGTGATTACTGAGCTCCCTACTTGCTAATGTGCATGAAAGATCGATGTCAGCTTCCTGTTATTCAGAGAAGCACAACCCAGTGACTCCAGGCTGGAGCACCAGACCAACACTGACCTTAAGGAAAAAGAGAAGGTACTTTTTAAATGACTGATTCTTACCTCTTGCAATTCAAGTCTCCTTTCCATAT